ACTGCGGAACAAACTTTGAGACAGTGTTTCGTTCCGTGTACAGATTATCAAACTGATAAAGCTCTACACAAGTAACCCGCACTTAGGAGACCGAAACTTATGACAATGTTTCGGTCGGACTTGGACTATTAACTAGTGACTTGTTAATGGTCCAAGTCGGTCCGAAACGTCGTCATAAGTTTCAGTCCTCTAAGAGCAGGTTATCTGTGTATTTTTTATTCTTGATAAAGCTCTACACAGAGCGAAACGTCCCAACGAAAACTTACTCTCTTTTTGTCTTCAGTCTTGTCAACGATACTCCATTTAATCCATTTCTATCCTTCCTCAGCTCCTCGTTGACCCTTCCAACTAATGTCCCAGCTTTATCACACCAGTGCTTCACTAATTGATGATCTTGTACCTGCCGTCTGTTCCGCCTAATGACCTGAATTTATTGTACCAGTCCTGACTAACCCACCTCTGCACCGGCATATCTCTTCTCTGTCTATCACACAGCACCTGAAAGGTTTTGTTAAATTTAAAGCCAGTTGACCACACGAGGGTTATTAAATTTTCATATCACCTGTACATCACTACTAGTCGAGTATACTTATGTCTGTAAAAGAGGAATTATTGTAAACTCTCAAGAGTCATTATAGGCTGAGAGATGTACACCCAGAGGTGATATGTCGTGTGTGTGGACGTTGTAGTGAGGCAGGTGGCCCGCTTCACTGATAACCTTTGGTGGCGTTGGTGTCACTGTTGATGCTGTTATATGCTCCAGCCATATCACACACCCTTCTTCCCTCCCTTCTACCTTCCTTCCTCTCTCTCCCCCCTTAACCCCCTCACCGTCAATCATGCTCGACAAGTGATTCGCCTCAGCGCTTAGTATTCGTTGGAATGAACCCAAGATAAGTGGTAATAAACAACTGTCTGTGAATGAACAGAAAAATAAACGGGGACTCGAACCGTAGTCCACATGGGTAGTAAGCCCAACGCTGCAACCATTCAGCTACGAGGGTCCTAGTATGATTGTTTTATAACCAACACTTTTGTTATTTGATTGTATTAGTTTATTATGCACACCATACCCATCCTGTGGGCGGTAGTCACCCCATACCCATCCTGTGGGCGGTAGTCACACCATACCCATCCTGTGGGCGGTAGTCACACCATACCCATCCGGTGGGCGGTAGTCACCCCATACCCATCCTGTGGTCGGTAGTCACACCATACCCATCCTGTGGTCGGTAGTCACACCATACCCATCCTGTGGTCGGTAGTCACACCATACCCATCCTGTGGGCGGTAGTCACACCATACCCATCCTGTGGGCGGTAGTCACCCCATACCCATCCTGTGGGGGGTTTAGTCACACCATACCCATCCTGTGGTCGGTAGTCACACCATACCCATCCTGTGGGCGGTAGTCACACCATACCCATCCTGTGGGCGGTAGTCACACCATACCCATCCTGTGGGCGGTAGTCACACCATACCCATCCTGTGGGCGGTAGTCACACCATATCCATCCTGTGGGCGGTAGTCACACCATATCCATCCTGTGGGCGGTAGTCACACCATACCCATCCTGTGGGCGGTAGTCACACCATACCCATCCTGTGGGCGGTAGTCACACCATACCCATCCTGTGGGCGGTAGTCACACCATACCCATCCTGTGGGCGGTAGTCACACCATACCCATCCTGTGGGCGGTAGTCACACCATACTCATCCTGTGGGCGGTAGTCACACCATACCCATCCTGTGGACGGTAGTCAAAAGATTACAGAAGTACATAATGGGTCCAGGGACTGGACCCCAAAGTTTTGATAGCTGAACAAGATACAAAGGTAATGAATTCGCAGGTTACAAAGATGATGAATCGTGTAAGTAAGTTTACATACTTACTTAGGAATCTTAAATTTTCTAACATAATGTAAAGAGTAATAATAGTTAGATTATTATTATAATCACAGGGAAGGGCTAAACCCGTAGGATTATACAGCGCATGTGGGGGGACGGAAGGTATTCAGGCTCAATTCAGGGAACCGGAGCACAGATCCAATTCCCTAGATCAAGAGCCCCTCACCAGCGTCAAGGAACCTCCCATGAGGGGAGTTAGGTTAGAGGCTGCCACAGTGACAAGCTGTTTCCAAGGCACAGTACTCTATTACAACCCAGGAATCCAAAGGCCTGTTATCCTGGGTGTAAAGGGAGCAAAATAAACACAGCAGAAAAAACTTTTGACTAATATTATCCTTCACCAAGTAAGAACAGAAGTATGTACACTATATACACTATGTACAGCAATAGGCATTAGTGCACTTCACAGGTGTGTGGTACCCACAACACCTCTGCGATTGCCAAAGCCATCTTCTCATTGGCTGGAACCTGGGTACTGATTGAACGATGGGGCCCCGTCATCAACCCTTAGCATCTGGTTCGCTGGTTGGGGGAGATAGCCTTTCAATGAGGGTGTGTACTGTGTACATGCTCCGAATAAAGGTTACGTACTCTTGCATGCCACATACTCTCTCATCCTCTTCATCTTCATAAGCAGATATAAACCAAGTCTTCCAGTGGGCCACAGAAAATATGATGTTCAATGGAAGCAGGTCATGCCCATAGGTTAGGCAAGCTTGCCTAACCTAAAGGCATGACATGCTTCACCTTACCAATCTTCAGTATATAAGCGCTGTCTCTGCGCATGTGCTGTACTATTATCAAGATTGATGGTCTAAACACATCATTCCAGGCTGAAGGAATGATCACTTCAAACTCTTTTTTATCTTTCACTTTTCTTCCATGTACTGGACTGATGAAGCCACTGACTGACGATATGTTTCCGGAATAAAGATACCCAAATGTTGCACAAGTGTCTCATTTATCAACTTCTCAGTTTTGAAACCATTTATACAACATGCAGTTTATATCCACTTTACTTATTCCTGTTTTCCATTTGTACTCTTTAATCATATCTCCCCGAAGTCTACAGCTTTCGAAAGAATGCAAGGTCAGTGTATTCATCATCTTTTCTTAAGAAAAGTTTCTAATACATATATAGAATTAACTTCGTCATCTTTGTCTCTCAATTTTCCACTGCATTTATGTCGATATTCCCCTCAAGGGAGGTTCCATGACGCTGGTGAGGGGCTCTTGATCTAGGGAATTGGATCTTTCCTCCGGTTCCCTGAATTGAGCCTGAATACCTTCCCCCCCACGCGCTGTATAATCCTACGGGTTTAGCGCTCCCCATGATTATAATAATTATGTCCATAATGTAATATGGAGACCAGAACTGAGCAGCATAATCTAAATAAGGCATTATCAAAGATACATAAAGTTGAAGTCTAATCTTAGGACTTCAGTAATTTATAATTCTTGATATGAAGACAAAAATTCTATTCAATTAACTTTATTGCAATTATGCACTGTTGTCTTGGCTTTAAATTTCTGCTAACTAGAGCTAGATCTTTTCTCATTCACTTTGACTAAGATCAACATTGTTTAGCTTATAAGTGTCATAGGAAAGGTTTCTGGTGTGGCTAATATTTCCCAGAATAACAGTTTGCACAAGAAATAACTATTTTTTGTGGGGTATTGATAGCTTGCTTGTATTTTAAAATATATAATAGGGGCTGAGTGACCAGTAGATAAACTCAATATTTACCATTTTTTCTTTAATCATGTATTGTTCAGTGTTTTTTGTTATATAATTCCAATCTGCTATTGACTCTATTTCTGGGGAGAATGACCTTGAAAAGGAGAGTATCTTGCTACTGTTGAAGGGTTTCTGAGCCAAGGAATTGGAGCTGCCCCTCTTTTCCTTGGACCACAAGGCACAGTACTTGCTCCCATCCTGTTTCTCATCCTCATATCTGACATAGAGATGTAAGCCATAGCTCCGTGTCTTCCTTTGCGGATGACACCCGAATTGCTATGACAGTGTCCTCCATCGAAGACACTGCAGACTCCAAGTGGACATCAACCAAATCTTTAAATAGGCTGCAGAAAATAATATGAAGTTCAATGAAGGGAAATTTCAACTGCTCAGATATAAAAAACTTGAGAAAATTAAAATTGTATCAGGGTATAAAACAAATTATAACCGCATCATAGAGCAAAAAACTGAAGTGAAGAACCTGGGAGTGATACTGTCAGAGGATCTCACCTTCAAAGACCGTAACAATGTATCTACCTCAGACTTGGACCTGCCTTGCATGGGCCAGTAGGCCTGCTGCAGTGTTCCTTCTTTCTTATGTTCTTATGTTCATCTGCTAGAAAAATGATAGGATGGATTATGAGAACCTTCAAAACTAGGGATGCCAAGCCCATGATGATTCTCCTCAAATCACTTGTTTTCTCTAGGCTGGAATACTGCTGTACACTAACTGCCCCCTTCAAGGCAGGTGAAATTGCTGACCTGGAGAATGTACAGAGATCTTTCATGGCACACATACGGTAAAGGACCTAAATTACTGGGAATGGTTGAAGTCCCTTGATTTGTATTCCCTGGAATACAGGCAAGAAAGATACACGATAATATACACTTGGAAAATCTTAGAGGGATTAGTACCAAACTTGCACATGAAAAATCACTCCCTGCAAAAGCAAAAGACTTGGCAGGAGATGCAACATTCTCCTAATGAAAAGCAGGGGCACCACGAATACACTAAGACACAACACAAGTGTCAGCTGCCTTCTAGAATACATAAGGGGGATTAACAATAGACCCCTGGCTGTCTTCAAGAAGGCACTGGACAGGCACCTAAGGTCAGTACCTGATCAGCCGGGTTGTGGTTCGTATGTCAGTTTATGTGTGGCCAGCAGTAACAGTCTGGTTGTTTAGACCCTGATCCACCATGAGGCCTGGTCTCAGACCAGACCGTGGGGACATTGAGCCCCAAAAGTGTTCAGAAATATAATTGTATTACAGTAAACATGTAAGGATATGCAAAATATTGTTACCTTAAAATAAAGTATGTTGTTAGCTGAAAGGTGCTGTTGGTTTTCAGGTTCCAATGTGACTTTGCTGTGCTTGGCCAATGGTCATCCAAAACCAACACTGCAATGGTCAAGGTATGGAGGGAGGCTGCCATTGAGGAGCATACAACAGGAAGATGGTTCATTGCTCATCACCCAGCTGGCAGCACAAGATGAGGGCACATACCTGTGTCGTGCATACAATGGTCTCGGTACAGAGATCTTGCTGGATGTACCACTAGAGGTACTAGGTATGTCACAATTCATTACACAGTAATTTTTCTGTCTTATTTAGCTGTAATGACCTTTTTGCCATTCTTTTCACCAATGTCTTGAATGGAATGAATTGTTGATTCTCTAACATAAAATGCATGCACCATCTCCAGAACCCACTCAATACCCTCTAGACTATCAATTGTTTAGTTTTGTTTTTTTTACAAACAGGCTTAATTTCACTCTTAATATTCTTATTGTCACCTTCAGCATGTTAGGTAAAAGGACACATGTGCAATTAATGTGACTTTTTACTGTGGCAACATTTCAGGAGCTTTGTCAAGCTGTTACAACTTTACAAAGCCATAACATTGCCAAAATAAAATGTCACATTAGTTGCATGTGTGTCTTTTACCTAACATATTGTCAGTAATTCTACCTTTATCACTTTCAGCATGAAGAGTACTATTTCTTTTGGGTGACAGGCATAATATCCAGAAAAAAGGCAGGGTGATAATAAAATAAAAAATTCTGAAAATCATGGTACAGCCTGGTCACAGACCGGGCCATGGGGACGTTGACCCCTGAAACCCTCTCCATGTACAGTAAGTATGGTATGGAAAACATTGAGAAGTGCAACTGGTAGCATGGGTGGCTACTTACATCAAGAAGAGACAATTAGGTAGTTTTCCTTGGGCATAGGGAAGAAATATTCCACCATGCAACAGTGATATTTTGCACATGACTCTTGGTCTTGGTAACAAAATATAAATCACGAGATTTTGATAAAATGATTTGTGGTTGTGTAAATTATGAGAGTACGTATACTGTACATGGAAGACAATGTGAGGGACCGGTGTCCAATGTACACACTACCATAACAATGTATGGGACTAAGAGATATGGTAAGAAGTGTACATAAACCCAATGAAAAGCAGGAGCACCATGGGCTCAGTGTAAGAACACTGTGTCAGCTTCTCTGGTCCAAGACTATTCAACCTGCTACCAACAGATATCAAATATTGCTGAAACAAGCATAGAAATTTCCAAGAAGAAAAAACTGGATTACTATACCTCTATATTACTATACCTAGGTTAAACTGCAAAGGTAGAAAATCTCTCGAAGCTGGTCACATGTATATTCACATATTTTGTACAGATTCACAGACACACAATCGATATTGTAATGATGTAGTTCCTGATTTTCTTGTCATCATACATGTCCATGAAACAAAAAGAAAAGGATGACAATCCTGCCAGAATGCAAACCATTAAAAGACTTTTGTCACACACTCACAGGAGAGAACAGTAGTACTTCCCTAGGTAGTTACTCTTACCAATCATTTTGTTCATAAATGTAACATTTTATAAGTTGCTGCAAACTTTTTAACCAGCAAGGCTGGTTTGAAACCATTTGCAGGAGCTTATAACCAGCATGACTGGTTTGAAACACTTTGCATGAGCTTATAAGTTTTGTTCCTACAGTCAGCTTGACCAGGCAGTCGACTAGAGGGCCTTGTCAGAGACTGGAACATAGGGGCAGTGATCCTTGTACAGCCCATCCAATTGTTGTAGCACTCATGAGAATATGAGTTCTCTAAGGTAGTACAATATTCCCTGCACTGCCAGATATGAACTGCCTGTTTTTTTATTATGTGAAGTGAGTTAATTATGCCTAAATATAACCTAAAGAAGCCTAACCTAATTGAGACTAATAAATCTGTTTTAAATTTCCATGGTATGTTAGATTGAGCAGAAATGCATAAAGGGCAATTCATAGCAAATTATGCACTTATATTGGAGAAGTGGTTGCTCTGTAACTATTACCAAATATGTATACACTTGGTAGACAGGCATATGCTAACACTATAGAAATTTATATACAGCAGAATTTTTAAAGTGACTAAGGCAACCCAGGTGTACATAACGTTTGTTTGAAGTAATTATGAAGGAAAAATGATAAATAAAATTTGTTTTTGTATTTTATTTTATAACTCAGTATAAAAAGAGCAGTTGTAGCCATATACATTACTATACTATATTAATTTGTAATCATGCAATACTGTACTAAGCAGTAATGTATTCCTATGAAATTAAATACATTAGTTTGATTACTTGCTAATACAGCATCTCCTTACTTAGCAATGTACTCATTTACCGATGCCTCAGACTTTTAACGGTCTCTCTGACCAGTGTGCATGCCTAAATAATGTATATTAGAGCTGATTTCCTCTACGTATTCTGTTTATTACAATATGCAGTACACTACTGTATAAACATTAAAAAATATACCAGAAATGTTATAAATGATGCAAAGGTAACATTAAAACAATATTAAAGATAGATGATACAAACCCACTACCATTATAGTATGTTCCTTACTTAGTGACGAATTTGTCTACCGACGTGGTCTTAGGAATGGAACTCCATTGTTAAGTGAGGAGAAATTCCAATAATCATATGCCTGATTCTTTATTTTATAGCCAAAGGCTTCATTGAGTTTACAATATGTGATGGGATTGATTGCAGAGGCTCCAAGCATAACTTTGGCACCAGAGTCTCAAGATGTGGAAGAAGGTAAAAGCGTCACTTTGGCATGTACAGCAGTGGGTTACCCACACCCCAAGATCATGTGGGTCTTCAATGGAGGATTAGTAAGGAATGATGGCAACATCTTAATAACAGGTAATTGTCAAATTTCTTGCCACTGCTTTGAGTAAACAATATAGAGTGTACACTATTGTATTTCATATTATAAGGATGTTAATGTGTACAGGTGAATAAGTTTTACTTTAATTATACAGTCATTATCAGTATGCTCACATAGTATGTGTGCCATTCGATGCTACATACAGCAGGCATGTGTGAGTGTGTTAGATAAAAGTGAATGGAGACATAATTTTTGGGACCTGACAAGCTGTTGGAGTGTGTGCAAGGTAATTTTTTTGAAAGGATTCAGGGAAATCGGTTAGCTGGACTTGAATCCTAGAAGTGAGAAGTACATTGTCTGCACCCTAAAGGAGGGGTTTAAGATAGTTGCTGTTTAGAGGGACACTTAAACTTCCGTATCTGTGCTCCTCTGGCGAGACAGTGATAATGTGAATGGTAGTGAAAGTGTATCTTTTTCAGGTCACCCTGCCTTGGTGGGAGACAGCCAGTGTATATATATAAATATATACTATATTTTTTTAGCACACTGGCCGTCTTCCAATGAGGCAGGGTGACCCGAGAAAAGAAACACTTTCACCATCTTTCACACTACATCTGATGCCTTCAAAATCAGAGCCCAAATTAGCAAAAAATAGAAGAGGGAAACACTACTGGAGCACTCAGGTGGCTTATAACTAGTGAGGATACCATCTCTCTTAAGGATGTCATTACAACACAAGCTCTGAAAGACAAACATCCACCCAGAGCTCCCAGTACCAACTTTCACATCCCTGACAGTGCAGTAGGTGAAGAACATTTAACCCTACAGGATGCTGATGTGTATAAATTTATCATATCATTCCCACAGGACTCAGCAGGGGATTTCACGAGTTTAAGGCCACAGCATTTAAAATAAATGCTCAGTCCAGCACTCGGGGATGTTTTAGAGAGGTTGCTGTCTGAACTCACCAAATTTTCCAGTGTGTGCCTGGCTGGCAATGTCCTGGAGGCCATTAGGCCACTCTTCTTCGGTGTATCACTATGTGCCCTCTGGAAAAAGAATGGAGGAATAATGCCCATTGCAGTTGGCAAGCAATGGGGAAAAACCTTAGGGGGTCATACAGTGCTAGAGATGGGAAGAGTTAGGAGTAATCAGGTTTAACCAGAGGAAGGGGAAAGGGCAGCTTCAATTCCTTGGATCAAAAATCCTTCACCAGCATGAAGGTATTCCCCTTGAAGGATCCTCTTGCTATAACTATCCTAAATTTCATTATTTAATTGAAAGACAACATATCTACGCAAATAATTTATAACAAAATTCATGAAGTTCTAATCCAGCCACAGTAATCAGATTTATACTGTATTTTATATTTTATTTACAGAAAATGGTTTGACCATTGGGGTCGTGGAAAAAGAGCATGCAGGGATCTTCCAGTGTTTTGCTCATAACCCAGAAGGCACTGTACAGAGTGTAGCTGTGATCAGTGTAGTGCCTAAGACTGTCACTGTTGATCCACGAGCTACCCTCCACAATGGTATGATTAATACAGCACTTTTCTAAGAGAAGGTCTATAGTGTATAAAAACCATATGCTTACACAGTGTGTAAATAAGAGGTCAGGCAGGTATGGCATCATAATTTGGCTAACCTATGAATTCCAATGATAAATTTAAAAAATTTGTCATGTTCATGAAAGTGTAAATTCTTCGTTTGTATCTAGACTCATCGAGATAAAAAATTTGTTACATTATGAAAGTGTGAATTCTTCGTTTGTATCTAGAATCATCAAGACCAAGACCTCTCTGTTGGTTCTGATTTTTCATGCAGACTCTGTGATACAGATATTTATATTTGTTGTACATGTATATAATTTAAACATTACTTAGGGAAGAATTTGTGCAAGTTAGAGAGGGAGGATTACGATGTAGTATCAGATGTTGATACAACCGTATCTATTCAGCTGATATGTCATTGCTGGTCAGTTGTTCCAAGTCTATATCTACATCAAGATTAGTGACAGACTGTCAGTAATTAAATGCACGTACCTGTGTTTGTGGGGTTGATTCCAGCTCACTTCTCTGTATCATCAGTGTCAGTTTTGGTGCTTCATAAAATTAGGCATCTCTTTGGTGACTTTCTCCTGTAGCCTTGAGGTAGGAAGTACAATGCCTGCTCTTTGAAGGAGGGGTTCAAGATATTGGCTCTTTGGAGTGATCTGAACTGTTGTATCTGAGAACCTCTGCAGAGACAGTGATTGTGTATGAATGATGGCAAAGTGTCGAATGATGGTGAAAGTGTTTCCTTTTTTTGGGCATCATGCTTCAGTGGGAGATGGCTGACATGTTAAAAAAAAATGTATATATGTAGTGCACTTCAGTACAGTGGTCCCTCGTTTTTCGTAATTAATCCGTTCCTGGAGCTGTTACTGTTTACCTGGAGTTTACCTGGAGAGAGTTCCGGGGGTCAACGCCCCCGCGGCCCGGTCTGTGACCAGGCCTCCTGGTGGATCAGAGCCTGATCAACCAGGCTGTTGCTGCTGGCTGCACGCAAACCAACGTACGAGCCACAGCCCGGCTGATCAGGAACCGACTTTAGGTGCTTGTCCAGTGCCAGCTTGAAATTTACGATTTGCGAATCAATTTTCCCCATAAGAAATAATGTAAATACAATTAATCCGTTCCTGACACCCAGAAGTATTAAAACAAAAAAATTTTTTACATGAAATATACATATAGTACATAAACAATACAATGGGAAATGGTGAATGAAACATTAACAGCATAACACTTACCTTTATTGGAGATTCTTCTTAGTGTATGGGGGACTGGAGGAGGAGAGAGATTGGATTGTTTACAGTTTGGAAGAGGAATCCCCTTGCAGCAACACCTCAGGTACCAATTGCTTCTTTGGGGTTGCTTCTCTTCTCTGTTTCTTAATGCCACTAGGACCACCTTGAGAGTCACTCTAGTCCTGTCTCGCAAAGTAACTGTGGAGAGAGCTCTGTTTCTGGCGTCTCTTTAACACTTCCTGAAAATGGCCCAAGACTTTGTCACTGTACATATTTCTCACCTTCTTTACCACAGGCTTGGCACTAGGAGCTTTCTTTGGAGCCATGGTAGCTTATTTAGTAATTGCAAGCACTAAAATGAGTGGAATATTATGAAATATTTTGTAGGAGCACTTGAGGGGACCTTCACTCACTGGTAAACAATGCCAGACTGGCTGGGTAGGAAGGCCGCCCCGGCTCACACCATGCGTATGCGTCCCGGACGAACTACTATTCGCGAGTCAACCTATGAAAAGCGAGTCCATATTTATACAAAAATACCCCTATGATTGGCGAAATTCACGATTGCTGAGAACTACGAAAAGTGAGGGACCACTGTATATGTATTACAGTAGTATATATATTTTTAGTACACTGGCTGTCTCCCACCGAGGTAAGGTGACCCAAAAAAGAAACACTTTCACCATCATTCACACTATCATTGTCTTAACAGAGGCATGCAGCTTGATTGCTAGCACATTCAGCTCACACATTGAGGTCCATGGTTCAATCCCCAATATGGGTGGAAACATTCGGACGTGTTTCTTTAAGACACTGTCCCTGTTCACCTATCAGTAAAATGGGTACCTGGATGTTAGTTGACTGGTGTGGTTCACATCCCAGGGATCAAATTTACCTAATTTTCCCAAAATGCTCTGCATAACAAGGGGCTTTCTATACAGTAGTATATCATCAATGTCAGCTAGGCTTGTAAACGTTGTATATTTACTTGTAGAAAAAAGATTATTATTATTATTATTATTATTATTATTATTATTATTATTATTATTATTATTATTATTATTATTATTATGTTCCTCCAAACAGCAAATATCCCTACCCCTCCTTTAGAGTGAAGGCATTGTATACAGGCAGGCCCCGCTTACACAAGAAGTTAGGTTCCTGGCTGCTGCTGTAAAGCGAAAATCACTGTCAAGTGAAATGTAGCCTTTTTTCACTTTCAGATGTATGTAAAAACCAGATAACATGTTTACACTATCATGGTGGCCTGGTGGCTAGAGCTCCCGCTTCACACACGGAGGGCCCGGGTTCGATTCCCGGCGGGTGGAAACATTTCGACACGTTTCCTTACACCTGTTGTCCTGACTTAAGAAATCGTAATGACACGATTGCAAATAAACCATACCCCTGGCCGGGATTGAACCCGCGGTCATAGAGTCTCAAAACTCCAGCCCGTCGCGTTAGCCACTAGACCAGCTAGCCACAATAAGATTCATCCAACTAGGTATATTTCTACACCATAGGAAAGTTAGCACAGGCACCTCTGTGACCACAAATGCAAGTTTTTACAGACGAATCTCCAGCTAGCGTGGCCGTGACGAACTCTAGCTCAAGTCCCTTCACTGCCGTCAACGGGCTGGAGTTTTGAGACTCTATGACCGCGGGTTCAATCCCGGCCGGGGGTATGGTTTATTTGCAATCGTGTCATTACGATTTCTTAAGTCATGTTGACGGCAGTGAAGGGACTTGAGCTAGAGTTCGTCACGGCCACGCTAGCTGGAGATTCGTCTGTAAAAACTTGCATTTGTGGTCACAGAGGTGCCTGTGCTAACTTTCCTATGGTGTAGAAATATACCTAGTTGGATGAATCTTATTGTGGCTAGCTGGTCTAGTGGCTAACGCGACGGGCTGGAGTTTTGAGACTCTATGACCGCGGGTTCAATACCGGCCGGGGGTATGGTTTACCTGTTGTCCTGTTCACCTAGCAGCAAATAGGTACCTGGGTGTTAGTCGACTGGTGTGGGTCGCATCCTGGGGGACAAGATTAAGGACCCCAATGGAAATAAGTTAGACAGTCCTCGATGACGCACTGACTTGCTTGGGTTATCCTGGGTGGCTAACCCTCCGGGGTTAAAAATCCGAACGAAATCTTATCTTATCTCTCTTATCTCTTATATTAAGTGAGCAGTAGAGTTAGGCTTATACCATACACACATTACACATTACTTACTATAAAATATTTTTGTTCTTAGCTTATAGTGAGTGGTGAATCTATTTATTGTAGGAAGTCTGAATAAATGGAGAATGGGTATAATTGAAAATTGCTGCATTAGCACAACACCATAAAGCAAAGTGCTGTAAAACAGGGACCACCTGCTTTGATTTATGATGTTTTGCTAATGCAGTGGTTTTCAGTTATACCCATTCTTCACATATTACAATAAATATATTAACCACTCATTATAATCTAAGGACAAAAATATTTTAAGGTGTGTATTGTGTGTACTGTATATACATTTTTTAGGCCTAACTCTGTTGCTCATTTAATATGTGATAGTGTAAACATGTTATCAGGCTTTTATATGCATTTGAAAGTCATAAAAGGCTAAATGTCACTTTACAGCGATTTTCACTTTGCAGCAGTAGCCTGGAACCTAACCTGCTGTATAAGTGGGGCTCTCCTGTATATTAAAGTGTGCACAAGCCCACATTCTGTAATGCTTTCCACATATTGTACAGTTATGGGAAGTACAGTGCCTGCACTCTGAAGGAGGGGTGTTAATGTTGTGTGGCCCGGTGGCCTGGTGGCTAAAGCTCCCGCTTCACACACGGAGGGCCTGGGTTCGATTCCCGGCGGGTGGAAACATTTCGGCACGTTTCCTTACACCTGTTGTCCTGTTCACCTAGCAGCAAATAGGTACCTGGGTGTTAGTCGACTGGTGTGAGTCGCATCCTGGGGGACAAGATTGAGGACCCCAATGGAAATAAGTTAGACAGTCCTCGATGACGCACTGACTTTCTTGGGTTATCCTGGGTGGCTAACCCTCCGGGGTTAAAAATCCGAACGAAATCTTATCTCTCTCTCTCTTCTCTTAATGTTGCAGTTTAAAAACTGTAGTGTAAAGCACCCTTCTGGCAAGACAGTGATGGAGTGAATGATGGTGAAAGTTTTTCTTTTTCGGGCCACCCTGCCTTGGTGGGAATCGGCCAGTGTGATAATAAAAAAAAAATGTCTAATTTTCTAATTTTCAAAATAAAACTTGAGAATTTGTTTTTGCATACCTTTACCCTTCCTGAGGGGGGATATGTTGATGCAGTGAAGGTCTCTTGATCTGAGTAATTTGAGTTACCCTCCACTTCCTTGGATCAAATGTGATTTCCTCCTAGTCCTCAAGTGCTTTATGACCCCATATGAGTTTAGTGCTTCCCCATGAACATACTAATAATCCATTACTTTATATCATATCATGTTGCTTGTCCAGCACACATAATAAGTGCCACAACCCTTTAGATCATCATTGGTTTTTCATTTAGAACGAGGCAGGCAAGCCATTCTTTATGATTTCCTGAAACAAGAGATTTCAAATACATAGTGTTTATCTTAGTATGTCAATATGGACATTCCTTGAATATTTATGAAGTAATTGACTCTTAATTGTTGGATTTTTCCTCATTTACCTATATAATGGAGAAAAGTGTGAGAACAATTCTGCTGACAAAGTATGTATATATTTGGTTAGGTATACATCAGCTGGTAGTGCATGTGGTCATTTTTGTATGAAAGCGTAATGACAGTTGGATTTCTTTGTGAATTAACGTCTTCAGGCTGAATGTAGACAACCCAGGGTTGCTAAAAATGCTTTCCTTGTGGCCATATACCTAGGTAAATCATATATGTTCTGTCATGCTTTAGAAGGCCAAAATGTGAAGGAATCCACACAAAATAGGCTCTGAATCTGTTACTTATAATTTTGTTGTGCCTATGTTTTACTTCAGACACAAGTGTTTATATAATTTAACAATAATAGCAAGTCACTTAAAATTCAGGTGGGAACGATTGGTATCCTGATGTACTGTACGTGTTTGAGGGCAAAGTGTATAGTAAATAATTTTTTAATGGGATTGATAAGTTGCTTTTAATTTTAGATTATGCAGCCAGTGAAACTACTGACAATCGAAGATGGCGCAATGGTCAGAGGCGAGAAGGTGGTGGAGGAGCTGGAGGAAGAGGAGATATTAATGGTGGGGAAAAAAGAAATCATGGTCGGAATAATGGAAGTGAACATGGAGAAGCATCAAAACAAAATGATGAGAACACTGGTGATCCCCCTATAACAGGGGATACTGCAGGGTGGAAGAAGAAAACAAAGAAAGGTTGGATATCCTCTCTTCTGATGACTGTTTAATTTTAACCCTTTCAGGGTCCAGAGGCCAAATTTCAAAGTGCACACCAGGGTCCAAGAATTTTCCCCCAAAAATTTTGTTATTTTTCTTATGAAATGGTAGAGAATCTTTTTCTGGAGGTAATAAAACAAAAAGTATGAAATTTGATGGAAAATTGACAAAATTATGCTCTCGCAAATTTTGATGTCAGCAATATTTACAAATCAGTCATTTTGCCAACTTTGACTCCCATTTTAGGCAAATTACATTATTCCAGGTGACCAAATTCTTAGCTATTTCACTAGTATTACTTCTATTCTATCGATTGAGCAGAAGAAATCGCCAAGTCAACTGTTTCAACTACAAAATAAAGTGATCGGAAATTGGTAATTTGGCCAATTTAACACAAAGTTCAAAATATTCCAATTTCAAAATAGGGTCTAGAATAAACAGTGTAGGTATTCCTGGCACTAAACTAACATTTCCTCTGTTCATTAGTTACGTTTTGAGGCTTTATTAATGAATTTCATTTTGATTTTTTATTCACATAATGAATTTTTATTCAAACCAAAAAATAGAAGATTTACTGTTATGCAATATTGTAATAATTGTATAAATATCATCACCACATTTGTGAATGTATATTAGACCCACCAGCTGGCGTGTATTAGACGTGTGAGGTCGTTTGTTTACTCTTGAACATCGGCAAAAATTTAACATTTTCGCTACTTTGAGCTCAGTTTCAAGCCATTTCCAGTGCTAAAACCAATCAAAATCATCTCTGTTTTTGTAATATGTCTCCCATTCTATCAAATGACACCAAGAAATCGCAAATACAACTATAAAAAACATACGAAAAACACTGCAAAGTTGCTGTTTTAATCGAAAATCACGGTCTCAGTTTTTTTTCTCTCATTATACACTGTGTGCTGCAGGATTTGTTTTATGTGGTGCACACATACCACATAGATGTATTCTCTCATATCTAGGCCCAAATTTACCACTCACAGCTTATCAGAGTGAGCTGAGCTCATGGTGTAGATCTACGGTTTGGACCCTGAACGTAAAGCCGTAGATCTACGACACGGACCCTGAAAGGGTTAAAACACATCTTGTCATTTTTACCATAAATTAATTCATTGCTAATTAGACTGATTTATTTTAATATAGTAAAGGGAATTTATTAATCAAGTTCTTATAGATAATCTCTCTCTGTTCCTCCTCAGGTCCTGAAAACATCAAAGATATATATACATGGGAGGAAATCACCATGAAATACGTGACTACAGATATACATATTACTTGCTAAAATACACAAGAGCATTGTTAACAAAAGTATATCAAGCATATTACATATTGTTTGGGCTTTTTCATATTTTTTTACTTAAGATGTAGATGCGTATTGTGTATTATGTACATGGAAAGGAATAGGAAATCTTGATTGGCAACACTCTCACCTCACTCACTGAGTATCCGTGGTTCAATCCCAGGCATGGGTGAAAATGTTTGGGATGTTTCCTTACACTTGTTCACCTAGCAATAAGTAGGTACCTGGGTTAGCAGACTGTTGTGGGTCACATCCTGGGGAACAAGATTAAAGGACCCCAATGGAAATAAGACAGACAGTCCTTGATGACACATTGACTTTCTTCGGTTATCTTGGGTGGCAAACCCTCCAGGTTAAAAATCTGAACAAATATCATCTTATTGCTATACATAAGGGAATTATATAAATATGAAACCAAGAGAGCATGGAAAATGAAGAATGAAGAAAAAATAGGATGCAGTAATACATATCACCGATGGCTCAGGAAATAGGAAAAACAAAAATATTGAGAAATAAAGAATTCCAGTACAGCACTTTCTTAGTTATTTTCATGTAGATTTATAATTGCTGAATCTGTTGAATAATCTTTTAGTATTTAAGGAAGTGATAATATTTCAGGTTTAATGGTTCCACCATCTAAGCCCAGGATGACAAAGGTGTCAGATGAATCGGTTATGGTTACATGGGATGCTCCACAAGCTTCAGGGTTGCCTATTCTTTTTTATAAGGTAATACATATCTTTATTTTCTGTCATTTTAATGTTTTCTGCTCTAATTTATATTCAGATATATAATTAATGGATCATAGAATAATGAAAGGTAGATACTAGCCCTCACATACAAAAAAACATCAATAAGATTTTGTTGCTCTCTTTATATGTACTATACTGTATGTCCACCTTTTTTACACTGAAAAAAAATGCTTTGCAGTGATACTGCAGAGTAGAGCTAACACTAGTCATCTTTATATTATGGATATTCAGGTTGCAGAAATTGTCCCTTATAACTATAAAATCTAGGGTATGGCACAAAAATTCACTCATTTAGAAATGGGTTAAATTTTCATTGCACAATGTACAGAAGGGCTCCAACTTATGATGTTAATGCCTTTGAAGAGTTTCGAGAATTTGTCTCTTCTCTGAGCTCGGCCATAGGCCAGACTCGTCTGGTGCTTGCCTGGTCAATGAGGCTGTTGCTGCTGGTGGCCCACTGCCCCACATATAAATCACAGCCTTGTTGATCTGGCACCTGGTGAACACACTTGTCAAGTTTTCTCTTGAAGGCTTCTACACTTGTTCCAGCTGTGTTTCTGATATCTTCTGATAAGATGTTGAATAGTCTGGGACTCCGGATATTGTTACAGTGTTCCCTTATTGTCCCCACCGCACCCCTGCTCCACACTGGGTTTATTTTGCACTTCCTCCCATATCTCTCACTCCAGTATCTTGTTATGGCAGTGTGCAGATTTGGGACCAGGCCCTCGAGTACTTTCCAGGTATATATTATAAGAACATAAGAACGAAGGAACACTGCAGAAGGCCTACTGGCCCATACGAGACAGGTCCAAGTCTCCTACCGGCTTCCTAACACACAGAACACAAAAAGTAGTAGTGAACAGGGCAAGATCCAGCATCAGCGAGGTCAAAAGCTCAGTGCCCCAAGGCCTTGTATGTGACATTCAGAGGGCATCTCTCTATCTTTCAGATTGAGCCAGGTCTCTGTTATAGCAATAATATCTATGTTTCCTGCACTTGCAATTAATTGGTCAGTGGTCAGTCGTCACGTGAGGTCATGTATCTCTCTCTTCTGCTCCAGTGAGTACATGTTCAAGACTTGAAGGCATTCCCAAGAGTTTCGGTGCTTTACTGGCTCACTGTGAGCCAGTAAAGCATCTCTGTATTTGTTCCAGCTCCGATATATCTCCTGCTTTGAACGGGGCCATCACCACTGAGCAAGTGAGGGAGCACTAGTGATTTGAAGAGTGTCACCATTGGCATTATTTCCCTTGCTTTGAAAGTTCTCAATACCCATCCCGTCATCTTCCAGGCTGTTGTGATCTTTGTCTTGTTGTGGTCTTTAAAAGAAAGGTTGGCTGACATAATTATTCCCAGGTCTTTTACATGTTCCTTACACTCTATTTGGTGACCCTCTTGAGTTTTGTATATAGTGTTTCTTTTGAGTTCTTCATTCTTTCCATACCTAAGCAGCCGGAACTTATCACCATTGAACGTCATGTTGTTCTCCACTGCCCACTGAAAAACCCTGCTTATGTCTTCCTGTACTTTTTCTGTGTCCTCTACTGTAGTGACTTTCATGCTTATTTTAGTGTCATCTGCAAAGGATGATACAAAAGTGTGCCGTTTTTTTTATCTATGTCTGCTATGAGGATGAGAAACAGCAGAGGTGCCAGGACAGTGCCTTGGGGCACTGAGCTTTTGACCTCGCTGATGCTGGATCTTGCCCTGTTCACTACTACTTTTTGTGTTCTGTGTGTTAGGAACCCGAAAATCCATCTGCCTACCTTCTCCGTAATGCCATGGACCTCATTTTGTGCGCTATCACTCCATGATTACATTTGTCAAACACCTTTGCAAAATCTGTGTAAATCACATCTGTGTTTTGGTCATCTTCCAATGCCTCCTAGTTCTGTCATAATGGTTCAGCAGCTGTGACAGGCACGATCATCCTGCTCTAAAACCATGCTGGTTCTGGTTATGCTGGTTGTGCTGGTCTATGAAATTTGTAATCTGCCGTCTCATCACTCTTTCGAAGATTTTTATGATGTGAGAAGTTTGAGCTACTGGTCTGTAATTTTTAGCTAGTGCTCTACTACCTCCCTTATGCAAAGGAGCTATGTCTGCACTCTTTAAGGCCTCTGGTATTTCACCTAAATCTAAACTTTTTCTCCAAAGAATGCTGAGTGCTCGTGCTAATGGTATTTTACACTTCTTTATAAAAAGAACATTCCATGAATCTGGTCCAGGTGCTGAATGAGTGGGCATGATGTCCATTTCTTTCACGAAATCTATGGGATTTGTACTAATGTCAGTTAGTTGGTCTGCACGGCCTTCTTCTGGAGTGAAAAATATTTCTGCATTTTCTACCTTGCTGTCATTTAGTGGGTTGCTGAACACTGACTCGTACTGTCTTTAAGGATTTCACTCATTTCCTGTTCATCGTCAATGTATGAGTCTCCTTTCAGTAGTGGTCCAATTCTACAGGTAGTTCTTAGCTTGGATTTTACATAGGAATAAAAATACTATTTTGGGTTTCTTGCAATATCCTGTATGACCCTTTGTTCCCTTTGTACTTCTTCTGTTAGGTATGACATCCTGAGTTTTTGTTCTAGTTCAGTGATCTCTTGCCTATGCCTATCTTTCCTCTGCTGAAGCATATTATTGTTTTTAAACAATTCAGTAACCCATTTTCTTTTTCTGTACCATCTCGTACACTCTCTCTCTATATCTGATCTTCTGGGTTTCCTCAATGGTAGGTGCTTCATTCATACCTTCTATGCTTCTATATTCTGCTTCTCTAGGCACTCGTGGGGATTTAGGGTGCTCATGTCTGCTTCCCAGGATATGTCTGATAGCTCTTGGTTTATTTTTTCCCAGTTAATTCTATGGTTGTTAAAATTAAACTTACTGAACATCTCATCTCTAACTTTAGTGATGCAGTTCCCTAATCCTGAGTTAATACTCGTTTAAACTTCTATGATGTTGTGATCAGAGTATATTGTCTTTGTAACTATTATGTCTCTGATTAGTTTCTCATTTGTGAATGTCAAATCTAGGGTATTTTCATTTCTAGTGGGATCAATTATCTGTTGGTTTCATGAGTACTTTTCACAAAGCCTCATTAGTTCCCTGGTATGTGTCTGTTGAGCCAGGGTGCTTCCTGGAGATATTTCTGGTATAGCATTGTGTTATGCCATCTTCCATTTTATATGAGGGCTAGATTTTCTAGCCTATCCACATAACTATCTATCTTTCTTAGCTGCTCTGTGAATTCCTCAGCAGTTGATTTACTATTGATGAAAATAAATAGTAAGTCCATCGTTTGGTATTCAGAGCCTATTTTCCAATAGAAACCCATGTTATAAACAGGCATAATATTCCATATCAAATTTTATTTAAATTTTTTCAAAGAATTTTTACCCAACTATTTTACATTCATTACTGCTCCTTACTTACAAACATTATTAAATATTATTTAATTAATGCATACATGTTAATTAATTAGAACAGAGCTACAATTCAGTATAAGACAATGCTCTTTACATATGCTCTCCATTTTTTCACTGTGATTGAGTGTGATGTGAGATGACAGATTGTTGATGTGACCACAGCTAGACTGTTTCTCTCTCACCCTCTCATATTCACTACCACCCTGCCTCACATTGTATCTAACTCAAGACAGTTTACATATGCTTTCCACTTTACATATGCTGTCACTGCTATAGTTGAGTATGTGATGTGGAAGTAATGGGGTGATGTGTAGGGCGAGCAACAACTAGACTGCTTCCCTCTCTCTCACTCATATTTGCTCCCACCCTCTCTCAAGTTTCTTTACATAATGTTCCTGGGAATATGATAATGAGGATGACTTAGGGAGAGTGTAAGGAGTGGGTGTTAGGTATGTAAGTGGAGCTACCACTGTCTCCACACCTCACCTATTGACTTGTCTAGCATGTCAGTTCCTGTGGCAGCTGCCACAGACTCTCATTATTAAATCAATAGTTTTAACCAGTTTCTACCACACAGATGTGAGCTTTCTATACATGCATAAAATGAATGTACACAAAGTATGAATGCATTTGGTAAAAAATAACTGAGAAAAAACATTTATTATTCATTCTTAAAAACTAATTGTAAATATTAAAGTGATAATATACACTTGGAAAATCCTAGAGGGACTAGTCCCAAATCTGTACATGAAAAATCACTCCCTACAAAAGCAAAAGACTTGGCGGGAGATGCAACATCCCCCCAATGAAAACAGGGGAGCCACGAGTACACTAAGAGACAACACAATAAGTGTTGGGTCCAAGACTGTTTAACTACCTCCCAGCATACATAAGGGGGATTACCGTTAGTCCCCTGGCTGGACAGGCATCTGAAGTCAGTTTCTGATCATCCAGGCTGTGGCTCATATGTCATTTTATGTGTGGCCAGCAGTAACAGCCTGGTTGATCAGGCCCTGATCCACCACTAGGCCTGGTCATGGACCAGGCCACGGGGGTATTGATCCCCTAAAACCCCCTCCTGGTATAATTCAGATATGGCTCTTGACCAGTTTCTACTAAACAGTTGTAAACTTTCTACACATGCATTAAATAAACATACACAAGGTATTCATACATTTGGTAAAAACCAAGAAAAAATATTTATAATTCATTCTGAAGAAAATTATAAGTAATCCTGATGTAAGAAATGCAAGTAACTTGTTCGTGAGTAATTAACAAGTTCCAAATTCACAAGTCATAATGTAAGTTGGGGCCCTACCGAAATTTCATTAAGGTTACAATTTCTTTTGAGGGGTGATGTTCTGTATATAAAAAAAAATTATTATATGCAATTTCCTTTACAACTTTGGTAAAGCCATCTACACATCGTGTAAAATTTAGAACGGGTCCTACCACAACTGCTTCCTGCAGTGGTCACAAGACCAGTGCTTGCCTGACACCCACAAACATACATTAAGATAGTGCAAGTGGCAGAGGGGTGTGCATAAACTCTTGTTATTCAAGGGTGTAACATTTGTGGTTTCAGTAGATTATTGTTTAATTTTTGTTATTTATTTTGTTGTTGACAGTGCAGACCCTTAATATTAGCTTTGTGGTTGAGAATTGGCAGATCAACTTGTCCCCGGCGCATGGACAACAGCAGTTTTTTCAGTATTGAATGCATCTAAAATGCCTGATAATGTGTTTACACTGTCGTATATTAAATGCTCAGTATAACTAGGCATATGAAAATAGATACAAAAGTATAATAAATGCACAGTACATGCAGTATTTACCTTAAAATATGGCACCAGTCACCCTTCCTTTATGCAACTTTGTGCAAAAATGGCAGAAAAGTAGAAAAAGCACTGAATATAATTCACAGTGGTCTAACTGAAAACCAACAAAAACATGGAACACAAAAAAGAGGGTGCCAAATAGCAGGTCCCTCCTGTATTGACAGACCTTTGTTAATTCTTAAACTGTTTCAAAATCAACAGATCCAGTATAAATTAGTCCGGAGCCGAGGGAATCGTGGAAGCCGCTGGATGACTGTCGATGAAGACATTCCACCCCATATCAACAGCTATGAAGTGACGGGTCTGCAAACTGCTCACACTTACAGGTTAATGGGGGGTTTAAATAGTAGTTTTGTGGTTTCATGAGTCATTAATATGATATAAATTAATTTCCAGAGGCATGCACTATGAACAAAGAATATTTAATATTTTAATAGTGAAAGTAGCATGTATCAACTGACTTTATATCTTAATAATGAAGGTAGCATGTATCAACTGACTTTTTAGCTGCTGACTCAAAACTTTAGGAATACTTAAGAAATTTGAGTATGTATGTTCCTCACTTAGTAATGAATTTGTTTACTGACATGGTCTTAGGAATGGAACTCTATCGTTAAGTGAGGAAAGGCTGTACAATTACAAGAAACTCATACTAATTATGGATACTTGTAACATCATGGATAACAGTGTAGAAAATAAGTTATGGTAAAGAAATTTAAGGTTTATCATAGTGAATATTATGTATATTTCATGGTAAGAAAAGTACATCTAAATATTATATTTATTTTTATAAAGAATATTTATTTAGCCAGGGATTTACAAGCATATTTAGTACTGAGATTAATTAATTAATCTTCTTTTAGGTTTCGTATTGCTGCTGTATATGCTAACAATGACAACAAACTTGGGCCAAACTCTCGTCGTTTTCTTTTGGAGAAGGATTTGACAATTCAGCGTCCTGCTTATCCGCCAACTATAGTCAGTGTGACTCCTCAGGGTCCCACTTCTGTTAAACTAGAGTGGGAGTACAAGCCTTCTCCCGGTGTACCTGTGGAGGGCTTCTTTATTAACTATCGTGAAGCAACAATAGCTGGAGAATACACTAAGGTACTTAACCTGATATTAGCACTAATAATACTTGTATTTCTGTACTTGATGAAATATTATAGGGATATTATAGTGATCCTCCATGAGAAGTAGAGCAGAATTCTTCCTCCTTAAGCCATAAGTGTCATAAGAGGCGACTAAAATGCCGGGAGCAAGGAGCTAGTAACCCCTTCTCGTGTATATATTTCTAATTTTGTTTTTCTTTTGGGGTCACCCTGCCTCGGTGGGATATGGCTGGTTAATTGAAAAAAACCAGCTGATATGTTATAAAAGTTAATATTTTGTACACAGCTTCTTATATCTTATAGACGAGCTTTAAGGATATTTTGAAATTGAGTATAAAATGAAAGTAGTAAATCAAGATAAACCCTTGTGTAGAAATAAATAATTTATTGTCCTCTGTATAAGAAATCATAATTATATAAAAAATTAAATAGAATACTTTAAAAGGAGAACCTGAGATACAAAAGCCTTAGAAACAATTCATCTACACACAGCATATCCTAATTTTAACCTTTATTTGCTCTTGTACATAATTACAGTATATAGTACCTATCCACTCACATATTCAAATGATATAATTTCAGCCTGCCTACCTCCACTCCTGCCTCCTACCTACTCCAAACTAATGCTGTTACTACCTAAACAAATTTTCATTCCTATTTTTTACCACCTTCATTTTGCTGTGTTCATTAGTCTATATTCAGTGTCCCATTTTTAAATTTATGTATCACTTTATGGTTTACAATACAGTAAAGCTTCATTATACAACTTATATGTTCCACCAAAATCTGCTCTACACTATGTTAAATCATTGTGTAGTGAATTGCAATTTTCCATATTAGTACAGTAATCTTTTTATATAAGGTATCTTGATTTAATGGACTTCAGAAATATGATTCAAAATCTGCTGGGTCATTTGATTCAGAAACAGTATGAATAGTTTGTTGGTTACAGACTTGTTCATTTTTGTAGCAATCACATCAAAACAATATCTTCTCAGTCCACTAGAGTCACCATTGCTGGCCACCTGCTCTCCCAGTATTAGTTCATTAAACTGAGAGTTTACATATTCAGGGAAAGAGTTTAAGCCCAGAAGGTTCATTCATCATTGCATGACAAGGGTGAAAGAGATGGTGGGAAGGAAGAAGTTCCACATAAGGAAGAAAATTGGCTAAAAGGATGGGATTACAATTAGCCAAGCAAATTGGTGTTAATTAAGAAATTGAAGAGAAAGTGTACAGCAAAGGTGGAACTGTCAGAGAGAAGGGGCTGGCAATTTCATAGACTCACATTATATAATGCAAGAAAATTTATTTTGGGTCATAAAACATAAAAACCACAAAATGTAAAAGATGTGATGAGGTATGGTGTACTATACCTTTATTCCCTCTGTTCACCATCCCTCATTCCATTCAGTTCACTCATTTCTGTATACTTTTTACAGAATGAGGAAGTTTAACATTATTGTATATAACCTCTCCTCACTTAGCGACATACTCGTTTACTGACGATTCGGACTTACAACGAGCTTTCTGACCAGTATGCATACCTAAATAATGTATATTAGAGCTGATTTCCTCTATTCTGTATGTTACAATATACAGTACACTATTGTATAAGCATTTAAATAGCCTGGAGGCTAAAGTTCTCACTTCACACACGGAGGGCCCGGGTTCGATTCTGGGTGGGTGGAAACATCTCGACGCATTTCCTTACACCTGTTGCCCTGTTCGCCTAGCAGCAAATAGGTATCTGGGTGTTAGTCGACTGGTGTGGGTCGCATCCTGGAGGACAAGATTAAGGACCCCAATGGAAATAAGTTAGACAGTCCTTGATGACACACTGACTTTCTTGGGTTATCCTGGGTGGCTAACCCTCCAGGGCTAAAAATCCGAAGAAAATCTTATCTTTTATCTTATCTTACCAGAATTGTTATAAATAGTGCAAAGGTGACATTAAAACAATATAAAAAATGGTTGACACAAACCCTCTACCATTATAATATGCTCCTCACTTAGCGACAAATTTTTTTATTGACGTGATCTGTCATTAAGTGAGGAGAGGCTGTGTTAAGAAATGCTCTTAAGTTTATTTTAAAAATGTGTGGTGGGTATGTGCAGTATGTCACAACTACTAAATCACTACAACAAAAGTATGAAGGCATTGGAAGAAAATGAAAATACAGATGTGGTCTACACAGATTTTGTGAAGATATTTGACAAATAGGATCATGGAGTGATAACACATAAAATGAAGTCATATGTCATAATCAGGAAAAAGTAAAGCAGAGGAGAGAGAGAGAGATACAGATGTAGAAGACAGATGAGAGCCTAGTTCCAAACCGACTTGCTACAGTAACAATGTACTGGAGTGAGAGAGAGGTACTTGACATTGTGGATACTTGGAGCCCCTTGTTCCAAACCTACTCACTATAGTAACAACATATTGGAGTAAGAGAGGTACATGATGTGGAAGATACCTGGGGACCTAGTCTCAAGCCTTCACACTTATTATAACAATGTACTGGAGCGAGAAATATGGGAAGAAGGGCCACGGTGTCCTGTGGCCTGGTGGCTAAAGCTCTTGCTTAACATGGGGAGGTCTGGGTTCGATTCCCAGCAAGGGTAGAAACATTGGGCGTGTTTCTTTACAACGGTTGTCTGTGTTCACCCACCAGTAAAATGGGTACCTGGGAGTTAGTTGACTGGTGTAGGTGACATCCTGGGACAAAACTGACCTAATTTGCCTGAAATGCTCTGCATAAGAAGTGGCTGTCTATATAGTAATATGTCATTGATGTCAGCTAGGGCTGTATACCATTTATATGTACTTGTAGTAAATAAAGATATATTACATTATTATTATTAAGTGTAAATATTATTATTAAGTGTAAAATAAATCCAGTGATGAACAAAACTATAATGGTTAAAATATAAAAGATAAAGATAAAGATTCTATTTCTTTGTAAAAGTAACAATGTGTAATTACAATTTTGGTTTGCTAAGTACAATGATAGCCACTATCATGCCAGGGCATTTTGGGCAGATGAATCCTAGTACATAATAACTACTTAAATCTAGACAAGATGAAAGTGGTTAACTTGTATCAAAATCTTTATTTAATCTTAATACTAATGGGAGGTAGTCAAGGTGGAGGTTTATAATAATAATCTTGAAGTTGCACATAATAAAAACAATATTACAAATAATGGTTCAAACAGTAATATTTTATGGATTGGCAGATGTTTAGTAGACTAGAGGTCATATAATATATTTGGGAGAGTTGCTTCAAACTGATTAGAAGCTGTTTTGGTTGGTTTGGTTAGTACTGAGATACAGGATGATTTTTAAGCAAAGTCCACAATTTATACATAGAAAACACTGCATCAACATCCTTGTTCCACAGTTATTCAGCCTGCTGTTGCTAGAATAAGTCTTCAGTGGGAAACTTAATCACCACCTCCTCCAAGTGCCAAATCACCCAGGCTGTAATGGATATGTCGGCCAGCAGGCCACCACCAGCAACAGCCTGGTTGATCAGGCAAGTAATAAAAAAGCCTGGCCCTAGTCCAAGTTGCAGGCATAGGAAGAACTTAAAATTGGTCACAGGTGTGGCAAGTGTAATGTGACAGGGGCTTACTGGGTTCAGAAAATGCAACAGCACAGGGAGAAGGCAGCATGAACACCATTCTTTTCAACAAAATGCAGTGTTTTTATGTTTCTTCTTTACTTTGAATTACAGTAAGCACTCTTATTCACCTCCTCTCTATATATTGCATTTTTTTTGTAAATACGTACAATTGAAAAAGTGCATCCAAAATTTAATAGCACATGACAAGGCCTTCAGAGAATGTGCTGTTTAACTTTGGATGTACTTTTTCAATTGTTTTTGCAAAAATTCACAATGTATAGAGGAGTTTTATAAGAGTGTTTACTATTCATATATTTCATATACCTTTCAACCTCTAGCCTCATTTTCATTGGCCAGAGGAGGAGCCACTTCAGGACTCTAGGGCCATTCTAGGAAGGTAAAGCTTCAAAAATTCTTGTGTACATTGAAAGCGAGGATCCTTAAATCCCTGAAATAAAGATTTAAGTATACTTTCAGTGCAAATATACTGAGATATACACACATCTTTCAGTGTATATGTACAGAAAAACACAAATTGTAACCCCCCCTCAGATTTGGATGGTTGGTTATAGCTTACTTTGTGCATAACTTGTTGTATAACAAATCGTATCATGTAGCTAGTCTCAGGGTAAAATATATTTTATTAAATGAACTGCATGACATTACAAAAAACTTTTAAATGACATTTGAAAACTGTTTTATTGACCTATTTAAGCAAAAGTTATTGTTCATTATTTTTCAGGTTACAGTGTTGGGACCTGCTAAGAGAAGTTTTGTAATACTTCATCTTAAGGCTAACGTCTCCTATGATTTTAAGATCCAATGCTTCAATATTGCGGGTGCCTCGGAGTTTTCAGCTATATATAATAAGAACGCAGTGGGTATGTACATTTACAATTTTAGTATTACTGTAATAATATTTATTTTCTCTGGAAAAGGACACGTGTGTAGAGTTCAGCACATTTATTAAAGGAAACATTTCACCATTAGTCTTCATCAGTCGCTCATGGTGGAACATTTCCTTAATAAATGTCCTGAACTGTACAGAAGTTTTTTGTCAGTATCACCATACCATTTATAATGTTTATCTTCTCTGCAGGTTCTTCTCTGAGCACAACTGAAGCACCAATCATAATTAACACCTTAGTGCCCATATTCAACAATGATGACCTTAGCCTGTCCAATATTCATCTTTATATTATTCTTGGAGCTGTGCTTGCATTTTTACTTCTTATTGTGATTGTTTCTGCAACAGTATACACCTGCCGCAACAAACACACTGATGGTTAGTGCATTCTAAATTACTGTTTTCATGCATAATTATTATATTCATGGGAAGTACTAAATCACTAAGGGTTATTTGGTGCCTGGGAAATAGGTACGGTAATCAAGTTTGATCCATTTAAGATGAGGGGTAACTCCAATTCCTTGGAATAAGAGCCCATTACTGGCATGAAGACTACTTTTCCAAGGGTTTTCCTGTATAAATAAAGCTTAATGACAGGTTTCTCTTTAATACAATATTGATCATGACACGCAGTTGTTTAAACCATATTTTACCTTCCTATTAATATTCTTTTATTTCATGAAAATAAATGCAAATGCATTTACCTGTATATGTGCATGTCAGCCAGTGTCTCTGGTGGTCATTGGAGGGAGCAGGAAGCCTGATAAATCATTCCAGGTGAATTGTGAACTACAGTGTAGCATAGTCTTAACTGCAACAGCCTCACTTGGTATGCTGTTCCATGGGTTTATTTTACTGTGAGAAGACTTTCCTGTAGTCTCACTGGCATTGTTTCTTGGCCAGTTAACAGCTAGTTCCCTCTTGTGTGTCTCAGAATTCATAAATTATGACTGTATTTTTTCAGTCTCGCTTTAATTATTGACATTATATAAGGGAAAAAAATTGTGACTACAGTATCTAAGTATGAATATAGCAAAATTGTATTTTAACAGATGACACAAGATCAACCAAATATGAAGACACATCTCTCCACATCCATCGAGAAACTGCCACCTATATATTACCCCACCAGCAGAATAATGGACAAACTCCAAATGGCTATCTGTCTCATCAGGGTATTGCTGTTTCTCCTGGAGATGGTGAGAAGGTAAGTGAAATGAAGTTACAATATTGTATATTTATGAAAGTTACAAAAATCTTCAGGAATTATAAGAGAGTTAAGAGATTGCTTGAACAGCATGTGACATCCACAACCATTGCTACTGTTGATGCTGTACTCTCTGATTGTGCTGTAACTGCTGTTGCTGTAACTGCTGTTGCTGTAACTGCTGCTGTATCTGCTACTGGTGTTGTAACTGCTCCTATATACCTACTGTTGATGCTGTAATTGTTGGTGTACCTACTAGTGATGCTGCAACTGCTTCTGTACCTACTGCTGGTGCATTAACTGCTGCTGTATCTATAGCTGGTGCTGTACATATATAGAGGAACACTGCAGTAAGCCTACTGGCCCTTTTGAAATCCAGCCATATTCAGTCATATATTTTCCTTAACTTATATTTTAAAACTAGCCAAGGTATTAGCTTTAATGACAGCACTACTATAGTTCCCATTGCTGCTGCCAACAGCTACATTAGCAAGAGATATAATGCGATTATTTATTCACAATGTTTTGCCTTCACATTGGGCTCTGTAAAATCACAATTTTTTTTACCATTTCTCTCTCAGCTATAGTAACAGATGGAGCAGCAATGCTTGTAAGAGTTATGGCAGAATTACATAACTAGAGATATGGGTCTATGGCATACTGTGAGTCACTGTTGTTCCAGAAATGTGATTGGAGGGAGGACGTAAAGGAGATTTTGTATGAAAAGGGCTTGGATATTCAGTAGGCATGTGTGAACATGTTAGACAGGAGTGAGTGGAGGCAAGTGTTTTTTATGACTTAACATGCTGTTGGAGTATGAGCAAGGTAACATTTATGAAGGGATTCAGGGGATCCTGTTAGAAGGTATTGAGTCTAGGAGGTGGGAAGTACAGTGCCTGAACTTTGAGAAGGAGGATGGGAATATTGCAGTTTCGAGGGACATTTGAATTGCAGTATCAGCACACCTCTGGCAAAACAGTGATGGAGTGAGTGATGATGAAAGTGTTTTTTTTTTTTTGGGGGGGGGGGGGAGAGGGGGTTATCATGCCTCCGTGGCAGATGGCCAGTGTGTAAAAGCAAGAAATTTTCAAAACATATGAAATCTAAGATACTTTCAAAGAAAGTATAAGAATTAATATAAAAATATAAATATAAAAATATTCTATACAAAAATCATACTTCTGGGACACCCTGTATTATGTGCCATATTTCTGGGACATACTGTATTATGTGTCCATACTTCTGGGACATCCTGTATTATAGATCCAGGCTTCTGAAGCAGTGCATTATGTGTCTAGAGTTCTGGCAAACACTGTATTATAGGTTCAGACTTCTGGGACACCTTGTACTGTGGATTTGGACTTCTGGGACACCCTTTGTATTATGGGTTCATACTTTTGGGACACCCTGTACCATGGGTTCAGACTTTCAAGACACCCTATGCCTCCATATATGTAATCTACATGAACCCAGATGAGTTCTTAACCCGTAAACGGTCCAAGCGTATATATACGTTTTTTCAACATCTGAAAGTATGTAAAAAAAGTAGATCTTCTTTTTGTTTTTTTACATTTGAAAATGTGTAAAAAACTTTGATCTACTTTTTTTTTTTTGTTATATTTGAAAATATGTAAAAAAAACGTAGATCTGCTTTTGTAGCACTACACATGTGAACGTAGATCTGCTTGGACCGTTTATGGGTTAATAGTGTATTGCCAGAGAATAGTATCACCCCGCTACCATCTCAATTAAAAATTAATGGAATTTTATAAAAAAATGTGAAAATGTTGCTCAAGGAGAAATTAGGATTATGCATTATTCTTATAAGTGCGAAAGTATCAGGCATAGCTTCCCTTAAATCTCATAAATTTGGAAGACAATATTCTCCTTGCTAATTCAAAAGGTTTTGGAAGACAAAATAATCTCTTTGCTAAATCCAAGAAGTTTTGGAAGACAGAATAATCTTCTTGCTAAATTTAAGAAGCCTTGGAAGACAAAACTCTTGCTAAATCTTAATGCCTTGAAAGACAAAGAAAAATCTCCTCATTAAATCTTAGATACCTTGGAAAACAGGAAAATCATACTATAGCTTAGATGCCTTGTAAGACAAATAATCTTACCACAGAGACATGTACTGTAGCATGTACACAGTATAAAAAATGTTTGAAACACTTCCTTTCAGACCTTATTTTACCCTTATATAAATTTTGTTTAGTATGGTAAAGTTTAAAATTTAAATTTGGCATTTCTTTTCCCCTCACAGGTAGCAATAGAAAGTTCCTTCATTGAAAACAACAATCATAACACTCAGCCAGTGGAGAGATGTTATACACCCTCTGCTAGACGAATACCTCTAGAAGATGGCAGTGCTGAATCTGAGGTTAAAATTCCAGTATTGCCTAGAAATTCTAGTGACAATTGTGAAAGTGTTGTGCGGCCCTGTAGTGATAAAGACCACAACCAGAGACTGTGCATATCGTAATGAAAATCTGCTGAGTTGTTCAGTGGAAACATGAATGTGTAAAATATCATTAGTGTTGTTATGGATATTTGTGCATTGAAATCAAATCCTGTATATTGGGCAAAAGAAGAGCATGTAGAAGAAATGAATGATTTAGAATGCTTGAAGTAGTAAGTTTAAATGTATTAAAACATGCTCTTGGGTATTAGTTAATATTAAATACTCTGATTAGCAACTAAGTAGGAATTTAAGCTGATAAGTAAAGTGAAACAGCACTCTGTAATATAGGTTTTTCTATCTTAAGAATTTTTTTATAAAAAATTGCATATTATACAATATGTATAATGTATATACATCTTGGATGATAGTGGAAACACTGTACTTCCTTGGAGAGTGCCTGATTGATCACCAATGTGATATTATTTTTAAGTACAGTTGTCTCTTGTTTTATGTGATACATATTTTTCTGGCCCATGACTCATATAATAAATACATATACTAAAGGAAACCCATTGTAACATGTACACCATAAAGATACATTTTGAGACTTTGCAAATTGTGCATGCACCAAACAATCATATATATACAAAAAAATGAATTTGGTCTAAAAATATCTTGAGAAAAAATAAAATTTAAAATTCAGTTAGATTCCCTATACAAATTAACATCAGTAAAATTGGAAAAAACAGCTCCATATTTCTCAGCGTATTTTTACCAAAAAATTATGAGCATACCACGTAGGCATCAAATGATCATATACCGAAGTAACCAAGAGAAAATAAATTTGGCCCTAAGACAACTAAGAAGAAAAAAGGAATCCAAAATTCTAATTTAATCTGTCTCTCCTTTAGCCTTCCTCCTCCTCCCACCAAAAACCAACCTGCCTGACTTTATCTAACTAAGCTCAAGTGAACACACTGCAAACCTCTGAATATATTTCTCCTTACTTCACTTTCTTCCCTCCCTCCACCCCTAGTCCTGAATTCACATGTCCCATGCCCAAATCTGTTTTCCTTCTTTCATTTCTTATAAGTGTTAATATAAGCCAGTTTAGAGTGATATTTAAAGAGATATAGTAAAGGTCTGGTAAAACAAAACCCAATAAAGCACATTTCATGTAAAATGGACAAAAAAATTTAGCTGGACAAAGATTGAACATGTACTCACCTAGTTGAGCTTGCAGGGGTCGAGTCCAAGCTCCTGGCCCCGCCTCTTCACTTGTCGCTACTAGGTCACTCTCCCTGAACCATGAGCTTTATCATACCTCTGCTTAAAGCTATGTATGGATCCTGCCTCCACTACATCGCTTCCCAAACTATTCTACTTCCTGACTACTCTGTGGCTGAAGAAGTACTTCCTAACATCCCTGTGATTCATCTGTGTCTTCAACTTCCAACTGTGTCCCCTTGTTGCTGTGTCCCATCTCTGGAACATCCTGTCTTTGTCCACCTTGTCAATTCCTCTCAGTATTTTGTATGTCGTTATCATGTCCCCCCTATCTCTCCTGTCCTCCAGTGTCGTCAGGTTGATTTCCCTTAACCTCTCCTTGTAGGACATACCTCATAGCTCTGGGACTAGTCTTGTTGCAAACCTTTGGACTTTCTCTAGTTTCTATACGTGCTTGGCTAGGTGTGGGTTCCAAACTGGTGCCGCATACTCCAATATGGGCCTAACGTACACGGTGTACAGGGTCCTGAACGATTCCTTATTAAGATGTCGGGATGTCCAATTAAAATAGCCATGAAGTGGACCAAATCCACGATATTGAATGGCAGTCTGATGCAGTTGTGCATTTAATAAAATGGACTGACTCCACTTAATCGCAAGTTTATATAGTCTGAGGTTCATCCTGGATGTGTCCACTTTCATTGTTCCTGGGCAGTGTGGCCAGTGACTGTCTGAATCAGTGTTCTTACCTCTTTGTGGCTGCAGGGGTTGAGTCATAGCTCCTGGCCCCGCCTCTGCGCTGAGGCGAAGAGTTATTGTCTGGAGTTTTGAGACTCTCTGATCACGGGTTCTATTCCCGCCTGTGGTATGGTTTATCATTTCATCTCCAATCTTACCAGAAGATATCAGAAACATGGCTGGAACAAGTGTAGAAGCCTTCAAGAGGGAACTGGACAAGTATCTTCACCAGGTGCCAGATCAACCAGGCTGTGATGGATATGGGGGCAGCAGGCCTCCAGCAGCAACAGCCTGGCTGATCAAGCAAGCACCGGATGAGCCTGGCCCATGGCTGGGCTCGAGAGTAGTTAAACTCTCGAAACTTCAAAGGTAAGTACCATGTATAGTGTTATTAACAATGGCCTCTTAAGGAAGTAATGGTGCCAAGAAGAAGCATGTAACCTTAACCCTTCGAGGTTCCAGGCCGTAGATCTACGCCTAGTCTGCAGGGTCCAAGAATTTAAAAAAAAAAAATTTTGTTATTTTTTCTTATGAAATGTTAGAGAATCTTTTTCTGAAGGTAATAAAACAAAAAGTACGAAATTTGATGGAAAATTGATGAAATTACACACATTAACGGTTTTACCCAATTTGACTCCTATTTTAGGCCAATTACATTATTGCAGTCGACCAGATTCTTAGCTATTTTTCTAGTATTTCTTCTACAGTATTTTATCGATTGAGCACAAGAAACTGCCCAGTCATTTATTTCATCTACCCAATAAAGTGATCAGAAATTAGAAATTTGGCCAATTTCACACAAAGTTCAAAATATTCCAATTTCAAAACAGGATCCAGAATAAACAATGCAAGCATTCCTGGTACTAAAATAACATTTCCTCTGTTTATTAGTTATGTTTTCAGGATTTACAGATGAATTCCATTTTGATTTTTTATTTACATAAAGATTTACATAAAGATTTTACATAGAAGATTTACTGTTATGCAATATTGTAATAATTGTATAAATAATATCAGCACATTTCTGAATATATATTAGATCCACCAGATGACGTATGTTGGATGCATGATGTCATTTGTTTACTCTTGAACATCGGCAAAAATTGAACATTTCTGCTATTTTGAGCTCAATTTCAAGCTATTTTCAATACTAAAACCAATCAAATTCATCTCTATTTTTGTAACATATCTTCCATTCTATCAATTGAGACCAAGAAACTGCGAATACAAAAGTAAAAACCATGTGAAAATACACCACAAACTCGGTGTTTTAATATAAAAACATGACTCAAGAAATCGTAATGACACGATTGCAAATAAACCATACCCCCGGCCAGGATTGAACCCGCGGTCATAGAGTCTCAAAACTCCAGCCGTCGCTGGAGTTTTGAGACTCTATGACCGCGGGTTCAATCCCGGCCAGGGGTATGGTGATAAAAACATGGTTGCAGTTTTTTCTCATTATGCACTGCGTGCTGCAGGATTTGTTTTATATGGTGCACACTTACCACAGAGATCCATTCTCTCATATCTATGCCCAAATTTACCGTTCACAGCTTGAACCCTGTGGACAAGGCATAGATCTATGGGACGGACCCTCAAAGGGTTAATTGTTAAGCAGAAACTTGAATAAATAAGGGAACTGGAGGCTGGAGTTTCAGTGGCCTGGGTGTGTGAGGAATATGGTGTGGTAAAAAAACAGAAAACCAGAAAAAAGTAAGAAAAATTTCTGTACTGTATTCTCTTGCATGATATAGTGCTGCACTTTTAACCCATTTTCTTTTCAGGTTTATTTACAGGTAATTCTATGTTGTATTCGGTTATTCTTAGTATATCTGGTAGTTTATCAATACAGCAGACTAAGTGTGTTTTTATCTGGTAGTTGATCAATTAAGTGAACTACAGCCACTTAACAGATATATCCAATTTCTGGTAAATAGGAGACCCATCCCCATTAGTCCATTTTATTGGACCTTTACTGTATTATTAAAAAGCTTGGCAGTACTGGGCTTGGGCAATCACATAACAGAAAATTTATTCCATGTATAATGTATCACTGGTAGAAATGGTTCTCCTTATAAAAGTGAAACAACATAAAGTGAGGGGGAAACCTGTACATTGTAGCATTGTAGGTGTGAATCATGCAAGTAGCTGAAGGGTTCATTTATTTGCTACAGAATATAGTATCGTGATGTATTATTTGATGACTATGTATGTGTAACATACCTCTTGTAGTATACGATGCCCGGTAATGGAAATACTGTATCTCAGATTTTTAGTTAATTTATATACTGTAGTACATTGATTACTTGCGAGCTTTGATATAACTAAGACAATGAAAGAATCACATTATAAATTTGTCATTTATATACAGTTGATCACTTGTTATTCCAAGCACATAGGGACCAGGAGCTTTGTGTAACAACTAAAGATTCAGATCAAAAGCAAAACAAAAAGTAGTATATACATTTCATACAGGAAGTCTATAAATCTGGAACCCTAGAGTAAAATGAAAAAAAAAATGGTAATAATAAAGAATTTATATTCATAGACTGATCAGTGTGTCCACCATTATTATTGATATGTACATGGATTCAGCGGAGATATCTAGTCAGTAAGTACACAGCAAATGATATTAGAAGTGATGGTATTACTTGCATCAGTGATATATTCGGGACTTATGGAACACTACCTGATCACTCCTAATACCATTCGATGTATACTTGTTAACTGGATATCTCATCTGCATTCATGTATTAATAATAATGGCAGACACACTGGTAACATTCTGTGAATAAAAGCCTTTATTATTGCTGCTTTTTTTTTTTCATTTTTTCAATGGGTCTAGACTTACAGGACACTCTTCGCATGTACATTACTGTACATAAAATTTTATATTGAAATGTTTGCTTATAGTTGATGTGTTCAGAACAGCTTGGCTGCTGTACCTTCAGATAATTGTGTATGCCGGAAGCTTGGTGCTGTACCTTTAGAAACCTGTAGCAGGCAGCTTGAAATGCTGTGCCTTCATTAATTGTGTATCCGGACAGCTTGCTGTGTACCCTTTAATAATCATGTATGCGACAGTAGTTTGGCTCTGTACCTTCAGATAATCGTAGCAGGACAACTTTTGGGGGTGTCCTTGGTAGAGGGTTTGGTTGACGCAACCCCGGGGGGAAAAAATTTTCCCGCCAAGTGGTGTAAAATGG